TTCCTCCTCCTCCTCGCTCCCTTTGGCGGTGGTGCAACTGGAAGAGACAGTCTGGAATCCAAAGTCACTTTCATTCAGCCCTGTGAATGAGTGTCTCCCTTGGAATGCATCACTGACAAAGACTTTACAGCGCTGGAAACAGCCCCGAGAGCTGCACAGATTCACCCTAAAACCATATACACATAAAGCAATTTATTTCACTTTGTAGTTGCGCACAGGAACTGAAGGCTTTAGTCAGCCACTTCCTTGGGACAGCTCAAGATGGGTTACTGCCACTGGCATGATCAGACAAGAAGCAAATATGCTATCGGCTCTCTTTTTTTCTTTTTCTCTCGTCTTTTTTTGACATAAATTATCGGCTTTTCTGGTGAGATCTAGGGAAAATGAACTCCTCCTGCTTTATTTCTAGGTTTTTAAAGTTGAAGTTAGCAGACTATTAAATCCAGAGGACGAGAACACTGTAACCTCCTTCACTGGAAAATGTTCAGTTTTTATATTGTGAACATTATTGGCGAAATTACGTTCAATATGTGGATTATTTAAAATTAATTAATTAATTAATTTAAATGTTTATTGATTTTTTTTATCTGCATTGCGTGATTTGAAATTGGCAATCAAATTAGCTTTACGCAGAAACATTTAGACTACAAAAATGACATAAATTAGGATTTTTTTTTAATTCAATGGATCATTGCACCGTCTCAAAGTCACTTCGCTTTTTTGTACTCAAGAAAATCTGTTATTTAAGGACGAAAATGCAAAATGTGTATCACTGCGGCAGGCCTAGTCTCATGAGAATATGTATTTTGATCTGTAACAGATATCAAATCATGTTGTGCTAAACAAGTGGATGGCTTTTATCAAGTGTTTTGCTTTAGAAATGCTTTTGGGGCTGTCTTAAAATAAAACATATAATTAAGAGGCGTGTTTGGATGAAACTGTTACATGCAGCGGTTATCCTGGTTACAGGACACTGTAATGCAGTTTGGGGAATACGCATCATTTTGTGGCCTTTCAGATCATCACACAGTAACTTTTGCTTGTGCGGTTCTTTCCGCTCAGCACATGGCTCCTTATAAATAACTTATCCACTTTGTATTTTCCATACATAGGGATTAATATGCTCCAAATGTTGCGTATAAAGATAAAACACTAATTTGGTTAAAGTGCACTGTGTGTTTGTGTGCGTGTGTTTGTGAGAGAAAGGCCTGTGTGATCCGGAGGTTCATGGACATGTGCGCTCCTCGTATGTGTGACTATTTCTTGCAGGAAATTACATTTAATAGGCTGTATTTATCACTGACAGAATAAATGATGTGCCTTCGCTCTGTCATTAGGTTGCAGAAAGCAGCAAATGTGACCGTATGTGTCTGATGAAAGAAAGTCATGTTACAGCGCATATCTCCAATCGTTCGTTTGTGATTCACAGAGCACAAAGCAATGACAGAAACTGGCTGTGCTGATGGGAGTGAAAACAAAGTTGAGACTCCCTTGACAATGAAGATGGATCATCTTTACCTTTACATGCACAGGAGCTTATTTGGTGGTCTACCTCTGTGCTTATATCTGCTTTATGATTATAATAACAAACATATAGCGACATGCCGCCTGTCATATCCACGTTTCACATATTTATACTGAATATTTGGTGTTGTTGTTTAATCTGCGGACAGATTCATGATTTTACTTGACATTGCTTTGATCAAGAGTTGTCTTTATTTCATGTTTACACTAAAAACTACGAAGCAAACACTGAGTTTTGATCGGTATGTATTGGATTAAAGGCGCAGGGCTTTTAACGCTTATTTTTTGCCAATAATTACCAATTAATCTGAGGCGTTTCTGCATTGCGGCGGCGTGGATACACGCAGACTGTCTCACTGTAATGATTTTGTGCGGCAGCGTCCAACTAAAGTATATCCTTTAAGAGCTTACATGAATAAGTTACTTCTAAAACAGAACCAACATTGTGCACTTCAGCAAAGCTGGCTTTATGCAGAGCAGACATTTGCCCCATAGGCCTGTCTTTTGCGTCACGCTGCACAAGCAGAGCTGTCTAGTAAGTGTTCATTTATGAAAAGACAACTTTGTAGTTTATCAGAGAAATCTAAAAGCAGGACTTTTAGTCTACACTGTGGCGAACTGTTCAGTTTCGCCTGATATCATCTTTGATTGATTAACGAATGACTCTGCCTTAGAGATGTAGGGCAAAACATTGCATTGTACCCAGATGGAGACACAAAGTAGGCGTCATGTAAACCTATAGAGTGTAAGGAAAGAGTGTGTGTGTGCCCTGCAGTTTTTGAAGCCTTCAGAGGCTGTGATTTTGGACTATATGAAATAAATGGACTCCTTCATAGACGATGATAAAAGCAACCCCAACAGTTTCATTTGTCTAAACATGCACAGCTGCTTTATTATCTAGTCTTTATTTTCATGTGTTGGTGACACTGGATCCTATATGTTTAAAACGAAATTGCCAAGCCACTACTTTTTGTTGTGTTTACCATAGCAGGCTGTGTTTCTATAGGTAAACACGTTAGAGAAGAAGTGAAAATATAAATAGGAACAGGTTTAGCAAGGCAACAGAGGAGAAGAGGCATTTCTTCGGCAGTATAACCTTAAATGGTTTGGCTACAACTCCACTTGTGTTCAGAGACACCAACAGTAACAGACAGAAATCCCACAAATAAGGAACAAGACGATATTAATATTTAATTATGTGTTTTTTATTATCATAACACAGCAAACATGGATAAACGACTGGAATGGATACACTGAGAAAAAAAAAGACAGGAAAAAAGCTCTTTATATTAATGGACACACGCACTAGCGCGCACACACATACAAACAAACACAGCATCACACCCCAAAACAATGCAAATGATTATCCACTGCATCACTGTGGACATAGATACAAGCTATATAATGTATTTATATGACCATATGTTATGGTAATAAATAGCCACTGAGCGCTTTTTCATTCATCTTTAATGGCTGCAGCAGAATAAACGGACGTAGACCTTCAACCTGCAGCAAGCACACAACTTTAAAAACGACCTAATTTAAGATATGGTAAATTTACTAAACGGCTGCATCTCTGTAAACATGTGGAGAAATGTTTAACTCGCCCCGCAGACTCGCGCGCATTCATCAGCGCCCACCAGGACACCGTTTGGCGTTATCCAGGTTAAGGTCTGGCGTCTGGCCTTTTAAATTTCATGCTTGAATCTGAACTCAGCAGCCATGACAAAACATCACACTCTCTAACGCGTACGCTGATTGCATTTAGTTTTACACCATGCAGTCCAAATTTTGGGGTATTAGATAACTTTATTTTTTAGCAAATGTAAGAATTAATTTTAATTTAAGTGGAATTTAGTCCAAACTAATTAGTGACGTCATGTGATCTTTGTAGCTTGGCGCTGACAAAGGCGAGATTTGCTTTCAAATCACAGAACTGAACAGTTTTTATTTTCTTTGGATGCAACACACACGGAATTATCACTCGTAAATTGTGATTTTTTTATTAGTCTTTGGGGGCATTTTGTATTTATAGAACACAGTGCACCCAGTTTGAGTTAATTCCGACATAGTTATTTCACTTTTGCAGGTCTACTCATCCTTTTATTCAGCTCCTGTATCTTTACGTTTGCAAGAATTCAATTCATTTTGAGTTTTTTTTCTGTCTTTTATCTACTAATCCACAGTAAAGACACAAAAAGGATATTTCTAGCAGCCGTTACGCATGTCATCATACACATCACACAAAATAAATAGCCTATTACACACCAAAAACAAAGATAAAACACACATGCACACACACAGCATTAAAAGTCATCACATTTACACGCATCAGCATCACCGTTACTCAAAAATGTATAAATACACGCATGCACTAGAGTCACTACATCACAGAAATATAACCTGTGCAGCTTTAGGATTTAAAAATGCATCAGCCATGTTGTCATCCATCTCATCCAATCTGCACATGTGCACTAAACTTTTACTATTAATTCCACAATTAGTCTAATTTGTGTTCCCTGTGGCACTTGTGACTTCTTCGGTTACTCCTACTTGATCATATATCATATTATTTGCTGTGTCGCTGCAGCCCTGCAGAAGAGATCAGGGTTGTTTCACAGCCTACTGACAAGCTACACTAGTATATCGCAGGGAGCAAAAACGGTAAACTCGTGCCATCAGATCCAACAGTAACATTACCCCCGTTATGAAAGCTTTCATCTAGTTAGCTCTTTAACGAACCTTTTTACCTCCTCTGCTCTGCAGTCTTCTGCTTCCTGTCTTCGGCCTTTTTTGCTGTTTGATAGATATTGTTTCACATGCATAAAGTGGTGGTGGTTTTATGTCGAGCGAGGAACTCGGATGCAGTTCTTATTAACGACACGTTTATGAACAATCAAATGGTCCTCGTTAAAATTTATTGATGGGCATAAAAACATGGACGGTCACTAGCCGAATATAACCCGCTGTAGTGGGCTGCTTGTCAAGAATCTGAATCCCCTCCTCTCCTATCTCCGCAGATCCCATTTAGGAAATGTTTGGTGTGCTCCCTCGTTAAAAACGGTGCAAACTTAATTGTTGGTATCCTGCATCCTGGATTTTGATTCCCCTCTCTGATCTGCCTGCAGCCGCTGTGAATGCTTCTCTCTCTATTAAGAAATAAACAGCATTCCACAGGAAGTTATAAAGCCTTCACTTTATCAAATGTGCTGCTCCTGCTTTGATAAAGATAAAAGGCGTCAACGATTCAATAAACGCTTTAATGCTGTAATAGTATCCATTGCAATAACACGGGGCTACGGTAGATTTCGCCGGACAGAGATTGATTACACCATCAAATAGTGCCTTGCTCGGTTTTAGACGTATTGTGCGCAGGTCTGTACTGCGCCTAGAGAAAGCTCCTCTGTTAGATCTACAAAGGCACGTTTCCTTCATAAAGAAGCACGGTTGTTGGAGTTACCTCTAATGCGTCCGAGAGGAAGAGCAAAAGAGCATATTCTTTAATCCGATTTATGTGCATTGGGATCCCAGGATAAGTGGCGCATTGATCCACTGTACAATTTTTGAGGGGGTAAATATAATCACGTGTCGCCGAGGCAGCCAATAGCAGCCAGGGAAGCGTTGAGAAATAATTACCTGCCTTGATTGTTCTATGGCTAGATAAAAAAGTACACATACACTCCATATAATAATCGGATGCATGTAAAAGAGTCGGGGAGGCTTCGACATGTCGACCACGGGTCCCATAAGTAATTATTATGTGGACTCCTTGATCAACCATGAGAACGAGGATGTCCTTGCTGCAGCTCGGTTCTCGGCTCCCGGTTCGCACCCAGCCGGCCCTCGTCCGACGTCCCTAGTACCGGAGTGTGCCGACTATCCTTCCTGCAGCTTCGCACCCAAGCCACCCGTCTTCTCCACCTCCTGGACCCCTGTACACTCCCAGTCATCAGTGGTTTACCATCCATACAGTCACCAACCTCACTTAGGCACAGACTCGAGGTATATGCGGTCATGGCTGGAGCCGATTTCAGGCGCCGTGCCTTTCCATGGCTATCCGGGGAACAGCAGGCACTATGGGCTGAAGCCCGACGCCTTTCAGGAGCACAGAGCCGCCGAGTGTCTCGGCTCCAGCGGACGGACCTACACGGATTATCTGTACTGCTCATCCACTGACATGCGAGACAAGACGCAGCAGAATATCCCCTCTCCCGAGTCGGAGCTCCTGGCTTCAGGGAAACATAAAGACGAGAAGCCGGAGCTAGATCCGAGTAAGTTCAAGCTCCTACAGTCTTTTACAGCCGGGTGGGAGTTTTGATTTTGGGATTGTGCAAAACTGCTTTTGCTTGGAGGCATTTTAACATCCTGCATAAAGTGAAATTATAAGCTGTTTCATCCTCCCCTTTTCAGCTCAGCTCAGAATCGCCTCTGCTAGGGGGAAAGCTTTAGGAACTATAAAAGACAAACGCTACTGGGCTAATATTGGGGCTATAAAACCAGACGGGGTTGTAAACATGGACTCAAACCTACAGGAAGACGTTGAATTTGGAAGGCTGTGGCATAATGTTAAAAACATGCAAGGTGCTCTTTTTAAGCGAGCAACCTTAAACCGACATATGAAATAATATTCATCAGTAAAATGCTTTATGATGCATTTTTACGACCATGTTTTGACCCCGTGCCATAACACACGGCACATGAAGCCCTGTGTGAGCCGGATTTCACTCCTGTTTTTCAATGCAGGCCCTTCTTGTGAAGGAAAAGCAACATTTTGGCTCCAGTTGATCCCCAGTGGTAAAATAGGCTACATGCTTCATCCACATTACAATGGGAGCATGATATGCATATAGTTACATATTAATAATTTGCTCTTCTCTCTGGATCCAAAACAAATTCACATGGCTCTTGCAGCCAACTTGAGGAATGTAGGGACATACTGGAGGACTTTCACCACGGACCTGTAAAGGCTTGAACCACGGGCCATTTTATGGGCCAATAAAGTGAATAAGCGCATTGAGTATTTTACGACGGTGTTACTCACAAGTCAAGGGGACAAGGAAGCAAATCAGTGTAGGGTTGGATAGTCTGAAGCTTAGAATCTTTCCTTAAAATGTTTATCACCAGCTCAGCTTTAATGGTAAACTTGTGCATGCTTAGACACTGTTTTAATTGTAGCACCTTGTGGTAATTGCTATAAACCCAGGGACACATTTTTCAAATGCTCAGCACTAATGTGGTAATCATTTGTCATCGTTTCACTTTTTAAAATGTCTCACAGTGTTGCCCCAGTGTGTCCCATTTTTATTATTATTGTGCTTTTTTATTTACAGATAATCCTGTGGCAAATTGGATACACGCCCGCTCCACGAGGAAGAAACGATGCCCTTACACAAAGTACCAGACTCTCGAACTGGAAAAGGAGTTTTTGTTCAATATGTACCTAACTAGAGACCGCCGATTCGAGGTCGCGAGGGTCCTGAATCTGACCGAGAGGCAGGTCAAAATCTGGTTTCAGAACCGGCGAATGAAGATGAAGAAAATGAACAAAGAAAAGACCGACAGCAAAGAACAATAATGTGGACTGCAGTCAGAGAAACAAAACCATAATAACCACTAGTCACATGGACAGCACAGATGTACCAAAACACACGATGATGCCCCCCTCTCCTCTTCATATTTATCACTTTGTTGGATTTTTGTATTAACCTTAACTTCGAGGCTGTTTGATGCTGACTATGTTATTTTCCAGTGCACATCTATGTCTCCAACCTTAAGGGAAAAAAGAGAGGAAAGAAAAAAACAAACTTCTAAGGAGATAATTACATTCTGCTTTCACTTCGAAATACCTTTGTTTTTTTTGTAAGAGAAATTATACAAGTGCAGTTTTGGACACGTTAAAACTGTCTGAAGAAAGAGAATACTTGAATTCTTTTGAATTTCACAAACCCATAATTTATGATGTGAATGTTTTATCTTTCATGTTTTATTTCCTTTGTACGTTGTTGTGCAGGTGTAGTATTTTGTACAGAAACAGAACATCTGCGATCGGACTCGTCTGTCTTGTATTTTTGTGATAGTTGTTGTTGTATTTGTGCATCTCTCCCTTTTTTTGATTGTAGCCTTTAACTATAGAGTGTAGATATAGACCTCTGCAAATATAAACATAATCACTAAGTGCTTGTATGCTGTATTCATTGTGACTCAACGTGGGGATCATGTTGGCGACCATTTAGTAATTAGCACATGGCTGCAGGCAGGGCCTAACAAACACAGTCCCATTCAATATCAGCTCAACTAATTTCTCCATAAAAACGGCAGAAAATAGTGTTAACGAATCATTACTGGGCGAGCTACATGTTGCAAACACATGGATGTTTTCTAAATAATTTTGCCTCCACAATTCATGGTCCAACATGTTTTGCCCGACGAGCATTCCTCCAAGTACAGCTAAGGCCCAAATAAGCTCTCCCACCGCAACTAATGGCGAGGGCGAAAACTAAACGTTGTGAGCGCAATTAAGGCTTTAGCAAGAAAACATTGTTGTAATTTAGCTTTGCATTGCTTTAAATTGGGGTCGCACTTAGCCTTCCTTAAGCCTCAGCCACGTACATTTAGTTGTGCATATATTTAAGGATAAGTGCGCACACATTAAATAAAGGCGCAAATAGCCGTGGTTGGTGTTTTTAGGGAGAAAAATGTCAATTCTCCAAAAACAATCAGCACAAAATTCCTGCAAATAATCCCTTGTGTGTTTGCGGAATACTAATATGAGTATCTGCAGTAGTTTAGTTAATTTAAATTGTACACAAATTTTCTTTTAAGAGCTAAAAAACAAAAAAAGCCTGAGGCATGTGCGATTTTTGTTTTATTGCTCCCTATCCATGCCCCATATGTGTTGTCAGTAAACAGGTTTGCGCAGTGGTCACATTTCCAATTACGTATTTCTTTATAAATATTAACCACTGCTATTTTTTCCTTAATTAATTACCTTCTAAATAAACTTGTAGATTGCTAGTTTTATGCGATCGCCGTGCAGGCCCGCAGGCGATCAGAAAATGCGCTTACATTTTGAACATTTGAGTTTTAGAGTGAGAGACAATTTCCCAAGTCTCGCATTTGTTTCCTGGGATAGGCCCTAAATTGCCTTTTTGTGGTGGCAAACAATGCGGACAGGATGCTGTAATTTCAAAGCCTAATCCAGTGCATTTCCGCTCAGCTCGGACAAAAATGCCAGTTTTACAGCCCCTGTTGGAGCTCGGCTGTTTGTCTCAAATGCAGACGAACAAAGCAAACTCGACTAACTGGCTAGACGTCTGGGCTAAATTACTTTATGGTTTTAATGGACGGTGGTGGTGGACTCCTTCAAAGGAGAGTCATGCACACCGTGCAGGGGACTTTTGCCTGATGGGCCAGCCGCAACTCCCCCGCACTTCATCACAAGAGTGCTCTATTAGCCTACAATTAGATGGGAAAACGTCAATAGTTATTGTGCATAAATATGAGTGCTGCAGAGCACACAGTTATCTCTTATATAAGAGCAGGTAGCGGCCATAACAGGAAAAAGATCCAGCACAACTATTTCAAGCAGGCTGTAAAACTCCAGACTGGAGGCATGTAGTTACAGTGAAAAGATTCTTTAAATCTTTTTTTATTTAAGGTAAAGTCGTGATACATACAAGGCTTTGGACAAATGGGGAGAATCTCTGTGTCCACACCACAGTTGTCTCTGATTGGTGGATTCATTCAGGTTTAGGGGCACATGTGAACACTAGATGACGCTGTTGCTCCATGTTTTGAGCAAGGTCTGTGTGTTGAAGGGCTTCTTAACAGCTCTGTGGCTTGGCTGGAAAATGAAGAGTAACCTATCGATGACAAAATGACAGATATGGTCACCCACCGCATTTTGTGTAATAGGCCACAGAGCAGCACCCAGGAATGCAGCAGAGCTGGTTGTTGTGTCGGGCACAGAGTGTGTGCATAAACACTTATTTTGCAGTTTTTATTTTAATTATTATATTTAGTTTACTCATAACTCGTCAGTTAGATTTTTATTTCCGTTTTTGGCATTTTTTTGGTTTTAAAAAACTTGTCCAATATCCATGATTTTTTGAGTTAATTGGACTATTGTGGTATTTAATTTATTTCCTATATTATGTGCTTATTAAAAATAGGTTAATTTTGCTTAGACAGACTTTAATTTTGATAAAGGGCAGTGATATCTACATTTAGATGGAATAATATGGCATTATGTGTTTGGACTCTGTGTCTGAATTTTTGTTTGTATTTGTTGTTTTTTTTATTTTTCATGGTGTAAATTAAAAACTAACACAGTTAAATGAAGTTGAAAAACAAAGAAATACATAATAAACATAATAACAACAACACAGTTAATGAACAGGCACAAACCATATTTAAATATATAAAGACTTCTTTAATAACAATTCATAAACAATTACATTAGTAACATTAATACCATGAATAGCATCTCTGACAGCAGAAAAACAACATTATATAAGCTATTACACGCACTTCATACAACAACATGGTTATGATAAATATGACTATGATAATAACTGTAATAATTATAATAGTAATTGTACTGTCACTGTACAGTCTGTGCAAAAAAAACAACAACAGCTACCTGCTCATTTATTTCCATACTATGTGTCGGTGGTGACGTCTGTAGCAGCAGCTCAAAGTCCCCAAGAAGTGTGCAACAATGATTGGCAATCTGCATATTTATAGAGTGTGAAAGGTCTATAAATTCGCCCAGTGCGCCTTTCATATTTTACGATGATGTGTATAAAACGTCAGTAACCCCACAAAAACCACACTGGCATATTTGGAGAGGGAGAGCCCATGCAACTATTGAGCTGGGAATTGTGCGCGCGCTCATTGTAGCTAAACATCCGATGTAAAATTTTATGAACTCCTCCACGTGGGAGATTTACTGCTTATCCTCGTCGGTTTTACGGGGTCAGTAAGTGGCACCTAGTATTCACAGGTCGTGTTTATATTTGCGTGTGTCGGTGTTTTACAGCGCACGGTGCAAGTGTGTCGCCCTGGCCTCCCCTCGGTTACACGAGGAGGATGTTTTTGTCTTATACGTTGCGTCATAACTTCACTTTTGTCTTGCTGTTGTGTCTTTGGTGTTGTTTTCTGAGACATTTTTGTTTTCATGAACTTCCCCAAAGCTATGTTGACCTCCATGAGCCCATAAAAGCTCAGCTATATTCTGGAAATAAGTGTATAAGCGTCAGCAGGGCCTGACAGCAGTCACAGCTTTATCCGTGTTTAAAGAGGGAACCTTCCCTGCTTTTAACACTTCATAACCTACATGCAAAGACAACAAGCTAAACTATGAAGTCATACTACAGTGGAAATGCACCATGTGTCACAGTGTTTGTATTCTAACCACTCCACAGCTCCATTGATCAGCTTCTAACAAAGCATTTTTTGTGATAAACACAACATGGATCATATTTAAAGCCTCTTGGGTTGTTGGTTATGATTAGTGCAGCTCCTCTCAAGGTGGATATACGTAGGGCCCACGTCTGACCGGTCGTAGGAAGATGAAGGGGTGGGGGTGGAGGTGGGGTGGGGGGCGCTTGTGGTGGGGGTGGTTCGGTGGGAAGCTTAAAAAAAGGAAAAAGAAAGGAAAAGAGCAGCGTCTGTGACTGTGCCGGTGGAGCAAGCCAGCTTTAACCTTAGCTAACGCACATCCAAAGCACATGCCATGAGCCGGGTTTGAGCCTGCACAGCCTGGGAAAAAAACACACACTCACGACTGCGAGAGAAATCCGATGAGAGGAACGGCTCAGAGAGAGTGAGCTGCCGTAGATTGTCCAAAGGGGCAGCGTTTCTCCTAGTTCCGGTTTGTCTGCCTGTGCGCGCTGTGCGAGTTGGGACCCTAAACAAAAGGCTGCCATCATCCTAAAGGAGATATTCTGCTGCGAGAGAGCCCGTCTGCTTGATGCTAACTAAACATGAGCTCCTATTTTGTTAACCCTCTTTTTTCTAAGTACAAAGGCAGCGAGTCACTGGAGCCAACTTACTACGACTGCAGGTTTCCACAAAGCGTTGCCCGCAGCCACACGCTGGTTTACGGACCCGGAGCAGCCGCACCGGGCTTTCAGCACCCGTCCCATCATGTGCAGGACTTTTTCCACCACGGGACCACGGGGATCTCCAACCCCGGATACCAGCAAAACCCCTGCGCTTTGGCTTGCCACGGAGACGCAACGAAATTTTATGGATATGAAGCCCTTCCGAGGCAAACGCTTTATGGTACCCAGCAAGACGCAAGCCTAGCGCAATACCCAGACTGTAAATCGTCGAGCAGCTCTAACCCCGGAGAAGGACAAGGCCACTTAAATCAGAACTCCTCTCCCAGTCTTATGTTTCCTTGGATGAGACCCCACGGTCAGAATCATACAATTATTTCCTATTCTTTCTATGTTACTGTGTGTGCGCGCGTGTGTAGCCTATGTGTGTGTGTCAGCGTGTGTGTGTCCGCCTGTGTACATGTGTTTGTGTGCATGTGTGCTTAATATGCCCGAGTATACACGAGTGTGTCTCTTAACTATAAAACGAAATAAGTCAGGGAACATGATGGGGCACATAGAACCTGTACTGCAGGCTGCTGTAACTCTGCAGCACATGTCCATACAGGGCTGAATTTTTGCTTTCAAAAGTGCCTTTAAACACCGAATTGCCGATCACAGCTCATGACACCAGCTCTTTGAAGTCAATTATCGTTGACATAAGATATTTCACAAACTCTTAACGCACTAGGGGGATGGAGGAATAAGTCAAAGTTTAAAATATGGTGCTGCCACACACACCAGTACCATGCAGAGTGACAGGAGGGTTAGCTGAAACACAACATGCCCCGATTATCCAGAATCCGGGTTTTAGGGGGTTTTGGGGGGTAATTTGACCCACAGGCCCAATGTGGCTCAGACTCATACAGCCATAATCATAAGGGCTTTGTAGATATTACCTCCTCCTATCATGGATCATTCTGTTCAGGCTATCAGGCTACATTAACTCCACACAGGTGTAAGCGTCATTTTTATCTGCTCAGAGAGATATTTATCATTAGCCTGTCCCCATCTGTTGTTACAGTGCAGCTTAATCTCTCTCTGTTCTCATACTTTTCCCTTCTCTTATTT